ATTATATTGAATGTGATTAACTATTTGTTTGTAATTTACAATTATTTTAAAATCAATAATTTAATTTACATGAATAAGTTAGTTTTACTTTGTAATATTTTCTAACAACGTAAATTTTCTACATCTGTAGGTATGGAACCTATAGACAAAGCTTGGATACAATTGAAGAATCGAGCATGTACACAGTACTTTGCGGGAGTGGAAAAATTCACGAAGTACGCAACAGACCATGTTAAAGACGATGATGGTCTAATAAGGTGTCCTTGCGTGGAATGTGGTAATGTGCGTAGAATGACAGTGAAACAGGTAGAATTACATCTTCTTTATAAGGGAATGAGAAGCGACTACACTAAATGGATTTACCATGGTGAGGTCGATGAAGATGAAGAAGATGATGACGATGAAGGTCTAGAATTGGGTGATGATAACATGGAAGAAGAAAATAGAGATGGTGATGACCTCATGGCTCCATTAGTGAATCCGGAAGAGCCTAATGCCCAAGCTCAAAATTTCTACAAACTTTTTGGAGATGCCCAATCACCGTTGTACGAGGGATGTGCTTCGAATGTGTCAAGATTGTCATTCGTCACAAAGCTTATGAAAATCAAGTGGGAGAATAATTGGAGTAACAATTCATTTACCCAGTTGGTCAAGTATATTCGGGCTGTATTTCCTATGGCGAAATCACTTCCGAAGAATTACTATGAAGCAAAGCAGCTTATGAAAGCCCTTGGGCTACACTACGAAGAAATAGATGCATGTGAGGACGATTGCGTCCTATACTACGCCGAGCTGGCAGATGCGACATCTTGCCCACGTGCAAAAAATCAAGGTGGAAGAAAGTTTATAAGGATAAGAAGGGCAGAGATAAGAAAATTCCGTGCAAAATTATACGGTATTTTCCTATCAAACCACGACTACAAAGATTATTCATGTCTTCCAAAAATGCTAAAGATACGGTATGGCATGCTCTAAACCGCTCGAAAGATGGGATCTTGAGGCATCCATGTGACGGAGAGGGTTGGAAGGCTTTGGACGAGTTTGACCCATCTTTTGGTTCTGAACCCCGCAACGTTCGTTTGGGACTAGCGACTGATGGTTTCAACCCATTCGGCAATATGAACAACAAGCACAGCACGTGGCCGGTCCTTCTATTCCCGTATAATCTCTCTCCTTGGAAGTGCATGAAGAATCCTTTCACCTTCCTGACATTGCTCATTCCTGGCCCAAAAGCTCCGGGTAATAGTATTGATGTTTTTTTGAGACCTGCTATCGATGATTTGAAGGCTTTGTGGAATGAAGGCTTGTTAACTTATGATGCATTCAAAAAGGAGAACTTCATCATGCGAGCTGCATTGTTGTGGACCATCAACGATTTTCCGGCTTACGCTAATCTTTCTGGATGGAGTACAAAAGGTAAATTAGCTTGTCCATCGTGTGCTGGGGAAACAGCGCATTTGAGGTTGACAAACGGGCATAAGGAGTGCTATATGGATCATCGTCGATTTTTGCCATTGGATCATAAGTGGCGCAAACAAAAGAAGCAATTTAACGGTAGAGTAGAGAAGAGGCCCAGACCAAGGCAATTGTCATCACTCGAGGTATCAAATCAGATCCACTCATTCAATCAAATTGTGTTTGGGATCAAAGGAAAGGGTAAAAAGATCGATGGATTTGGTAAAGAACATAATTGGAAAAAAATATCCATTTTCTTTGAATTGCCGTATTGGAGTTCACTTAGGTTACGCCACAATTTAGATGTCATGCATATTGAGAAGAACGTGTGTGACAGTGTTTTGGGTACAATGATGAGTATTGAAGGCAAAACCAAGGATAGTCTAAATGCCCGCAAAGATTTGCAGGAGATGGGATTGAGAAATGAATTACATCCTGTAGAGAGGAACGGGAGAACAGTGTTACCTCGAGCTTTATATAGCTTGCTGCCAGCGCAGAGAAGGGAATTTTGCGAGTGGATATCAAACTTAAAGGTTCCAGATGGTTATTCTTCCTATTTGAGGAATTGTGTGAATGTTTAGGAAGGGAAGATTTCAGGAATGAAAACTCATGATTGCCATATCATGTTGGAAAGATTAATTCCTCTTGCAGCTAGGGACTTCTTTCCGAAGGCTATAGCGGACCCCTTAATTGAGTTTGGCAATTTCTTCAAGAATATATGTTCGAAGGAGCTAAGTTTGAAAGAGTTATCAGCCATGGATTCTGAAATCGCCATAACCCTCTGTAAGTTGGAACGTGTATTTCCCCCAGCATTCTTCGATATCATGATTCATTTGGCCATCCATCTACCTTGGGAAGCAAAAATTGCTGAACCCGTCCAATATCGTTGGATGTATCTTGTGGAAAGGTATGAATTTCATTATCTTTAATTTATTGTTTTTCGTTTTTACTAATTCTTGAAACATGTCCAAAAATTATTGTTTTTCGCTTTTTAATAATTCTTGAAACATGTCCAAAAATTTATTGTTTTTCGTTTTTTAATAATTCTTGAAACATGTCCAAAAAATTTATTGTTTTTTTTTACTAATTCTTGAAACATGTCCTAAAATTTATTGTTTTTCATTTTTTAATAATTCTTGAAACATGTCCAAAAAATTTATTGTTTTTGTTTTTTTACCAATGAATAGGATTAACTATTAATCTTTCCTACTTTTTTTACTAGGTATCTGAAGAAATTGAAAGGTTGGGTTCGTAACAAGGCAAGACCAGAAGGATCTATTGCTGAAGCATACGTGATTGATGAGTGCGTTACATTTTGCTCGCAATACATGACGGATGTGGAAACTCGATTTAATAGTCCTGAAAGAAATGATGATAGTATTGCGGAGGGAACCGTTCACCCACATAATTTGTCCATTCTGCCACGTGTCGGTCGTTTCATTGGCACATTCATCATGAAGGACTTTAATGATGATTTGTTCAATGCTGCAACGTTTTATGTCTTGCAAAACTGTGACGAAGTCGAGGAATTTAGGCGGTACGTACGATTTATACCTCTTCAATACTGTTAGTATTACTACATTAATAATCACTATTTTAAGAATTTGCATATGTACGTATACTATATATATAGACAACACAAGGATTTTTTGGCTGGACGCGGTGTGAGAATGGTTGAGAGAGTGCATAGGGAAGAATTCCAAAAGTGGTTCGCTATTCAGGTAACTATTCTGACACGAAATTTTTTTAAGTGTTGTCTTATTATGATATTTGTGTAGAATAAATAAAAAAAACTGCTCGATGATGCAGGTGGGCAAAATGATTGATGACAATGTTGCAACTTTGCATCCATCTATGTTGACTTTATCTCGAGAGCCGGAAAAACGAGTGTTGCACTACTCGGGATATTGCATCAATGGATTTAGATTCCACACGCAAAATCACGAGATTAGAAAAACAAGTCAAAATAGTGGAGTCATGGTGCGAGGTGAGGAAGGTGTGGGGATTCCTTACTATGGTGTAATTGAAGATATCATAGAGTTACGATATACTGAAGGGCTTCGTGTAGTGTTATTCCAATGTGAATGGTATGATACCACGCGAGAAGGCGTAGGCTATAGGAGGGATGGCCACGGTGTTATTAGCCTCCATAGAAGACAAAGGCGATCAACGGACGAACCTTTCGTTTTGGCAAGTCAAGTAACCCAAGTGTATTATGTGCAGTGTGCCAGAGATCCGGAATGGGACATGGTGGTTAAGACAAGGCCGAGGAATCTTTATAATGTGGCGGATGTCGAAGAAATTTTAGAAGAACAAGCATACCAAGAAGATGGTATGACTAATGGGGGTCGAGTTATCGAGGACGACGATGTTAACTTAAATCTGCGTGGCATGGGTTATGAAGAATTTCATTAATCATGTAATATGACTTTTAAATTTTGCTTCCTACATTATGAACTTGTTACTTTAACTATTACTATCAATTTTGATTTAGTTAAACATATACATTATAGTATTGTTTTGTTAGAAAATTGAAATTTAAAATAACTATATTCATAAAAAAAATATTAGGTATATATAGATAATGTTTACTACTATATTTAAATGACTTATATAAAAGTATATTAGCATAAATGAATTACTATATTATGCCATATGCTATTTAAATCACTTATATTATACCTAATGTTATAATGTTATATAGAATAATTGTTAAATCACTTACAAATGAATCACTTATAATGGTAATTCACTTATATTGGCTGAAACGCCACCGCCGCACTGAAACGCCACCGCCGCACTGAAACGCCAGACGTTTCAATTCTAAAACACTGTCGTCGATCAAATGTGGCTGTGGAAAAGGGGAAATTCCCCTCTGCCTCTTTTGCCTCCTCATTTTCCTACGAAACCCTAGATTTCTGCTTCGTCGATCGAGAGCTCTCGCGTCTTCCCTTGAATCGAAATTGCCGAGGGCAGTGTCACAATTCGAGTGAAAGGTTTAATGAAGCAAAGCATCATTCTGGAATCTCTCGATGCTTTAAGTCGCAATGAAGGAGACAGCGGAGAATCCACCATCGGATGGAGAGGCGCGAGACATGCAACGCGAGAAGGCGATCCATCGGAATTGATTGCAGAGTTTCTGGGAGGTACGAAGCGTCTGGATTAATAACTTTGCATTTAACTTGCGCAGTTAATTCTACGTTGCCCGTTTGATGATTCATCCGATCGAGTCTTTAGCTTTCAATTTCTTACCTTATTCCTAGAAACAACTCGTCGACGACTAAACTCATAAACATCATCTGTATCCAATTCCTTACCCCAATTATCTACCCTAGTCTTTACCCTGTATATATATATCCCTCTTCTTTTATAACGACAAACCTCACAACCTAGATAGAACCCCTCTCCTCAGGCAAACAAAAAACCAGACGAAAAGCTTAAGTCTGATTGCACAAAGTAAATAATTTTCTCTTAGTTCCTTTCCTTTTCATGTATTAGTTGTGTCTAAAGTGTCCCTGTAACAATGTGAATGTTGTTTCTTCTAGATGGGAAGGCCAAAAAAGGCTGGGAAGACAAAGCCTTCCAAAAGGCCAGTGGAGGAACCAGAAAGGTCAGCCCCTGTAGAGAATGTCGAAGTGGTTACTCAGGAAAGTGAAACCATGCCAGAAACTCAGCAGGCAGAAAGGGAGGGTGAACAACAAGTGAATGAGCTTGAGAATGAAGAAGTTAATATCCCGAATGATGACATAGCTTTTGAAGAGGATGCGAACCTAAGCCAGGGGTCTCATTCTACTGGGGGGATGTTCTTCGGCTCAGAAGAAGAAAGGCAGAGGTCCTGGAATAGGGGTGAAGCCGGGTCATGGCATTCACCTTGAGATACATGACAACAGGTATATATATAATTTCAAGCCTTTTGTGTGTAGAACCTAATAATTTGCATTGAGTCGATTAATGTTTATGCACTTTCTCTTGTATTTGTAGGATCGTAACACCACAGGCTGCCCATGAACTCACTGCCATCTTCAAAAGGAGCATCACTGGACCATGGATAAGGTTCTCAGAGTACCCTGCTTCTGCTTTGCAGACCGTGATTGCTCGTTTCAAGAAATCTGGGTTCACATGCTCTCTGCCAGAGGAAGAACTCAATGTTCATCTCAAGGAACATATCAAGAGGAACTTTTCCCAGTGGATGTATGGGTTCCGTAACCGAGTATTCTCTGAACATGCTACCCTTGCTGAAAGGCTTAACAATCCACCTACTGAAATCCCTGCTCATATTTGGAGGGATATGGTTAACAAGTGGAGTGACCCAAACTGGAAGGTATTAACTGCTGTCTAAGCTTGTGTATTATGATTATTTGTGTTTGTATCTAATTTCTATTGTCTGTACACTCCGCCAGAGCACCAGTGATAAGAACAAAGCCAATCGTGAGAAGTCTGAGATCACTGCTACTGGAGGATCTGTTCCCATGGCAAATTTTAGGCTTGATCAGGTAAAACACGATCTGTTCTCTTGTATTTAATAAGAACAAAGCTAATTATGAGAAGTGTGAGCTCACTGCTCCTGTTTTTTTCTTGTGTTTGCAGATCAAGAAGACTGGAAAAGAACCAGATCCTATAGAGACATTCAAGAAGTTCCATGTTAAGAAGGCCAATGGTGAATTCACCACCCCAAAAGCTCAGACTATACATGTAAGTACATTGCTTGTTAAGTAATTTTAGCTTTCTTCTACGTCTTTAAAATCATTTAAACTCAGCGTATTAGTTATTAAATACTATGTGTGTAGGCTGAATTGAAGAATAAGGAAGCTGAGAAGTTGACTCAAGGGGAAGAGGTGAACCAGTTTGCGATTTATGGTGAGGTTGTAGGAAAACAGTCTAGGAAACGTGTGCTGGGAATGGGTTATGGTGTAAGTGGTGTGGATGTGTTTGGCCCTACCTCCGGTCAGGGCTGCAACAAAAGGTGCGAAGAGGACCGAAGGCAAGAGAAGGTGAAGAATGATGAGATGATAAGCATGCTGAAAGAAGAGCTAGTTCAGGTGAAGAATGGAATTCCTCAGATTGTCGAGGACACCTTGAAGAGGCTAGGAGTTACTTTGGTAGAGTCCTCAATGGTAAGTGTTTGTTGCTGTTTTTTAGTTGGTTGAACATGATTAATGGTATGAACCTTAGTTTTCATATCTATTTAACTTTGTAATTTAGGCTGGAGACTAGGGGGTGAATGATGAAGATGAAGATGGAGACGATGAAGTGAATGATGAAGATGCGGACGGTATTGACGATGAGAACAGCTCCCCCTGATGATGATGATTACTAAGTTTGCAGCTAGGAAGGAGGCAACAGTAGGAACTTTGCAAGTTCCAATTTTCAATCGGAAGTCAGCAGCTAGGAAGAAGGCAGTCTTAGGAACTTTGCAAGTTCCATTTTTCAATCGGATTATGTCTATGTTATGTTTTGTTTTGTTAAGTGTTTGGTTGTTTTGTTATATGTTTGAACAAGTGTTGAAGTTGGTCTTTGTTTAAGACAGTTTTGGCGGTTATGCCACCTAATTTTATGGAGAAGTTTCCTTTTTTGCTAATATATTGCATTAGTTAATTTCTTTTATGCTTTTAATAAATTACCTGCAGGGTAAAATTTATTATTATTATTTCTCATTTTTCATCACTAATAATATATAGTAAAAATATTTACAATATCGGACAACGATATAATTTGGTTACAGTAGCACGAAATTCGGTTAGAATTGTCGAGTTGCTTCCCACGAATATTTTGTGTTTCAAATATTCTATTTGTAATGTAACAAAATGGTTAGCTTTAGTAAGTCATTTCCGATGAATATTTTGTGTTACAAATATTCTTTTTTAACAAAACAATTTGGTTAGATTTAATATGTTTCTTTCGACGAATATTATATGTTAGAAATATTCTTTTTTTAACACACCAATTTGGTTAGATTTAATATGTTTCTTCCTACGAATATGTTGTGTGACAAATAGCCTATTTTTAACACAACAATCTGGTTACATGAACACAAAATTTGGTCTAAATTAATTAGTTTCTCCCTACGAAACTTTTGCGTCACAAATATTCGATATTTTCTTCTGGCCTTATTTTCTCGTTGGAAACTAAATTTACAATTATGACGAATAGTTTTTGGTGACGCAAGATATTCATTATAAATACCACAAGGGTGTTTTAGGAACATAATTAACCCTCGCAAAAAACTGTTATTTTACGACAAACAACTGTGGTCAAAACGTATAAAGGGTATTTTCGGAAAAAAAATGTCATCTTTTTATTAACGAATTTTTTCTTTACTAACAAACACGTTTTCCTCAATTATAGTTTATCTAACAAAATGTACTCCTCACAAAAAATATTTCATCCCTTAAAAATAGAGTTGGTCAAACAATTTCGTTAAGGACATTTCTTTTCTGATCACGATATTTTGCATTATGATAAAAAATAATTGTCACAAATGTATGATTTTCTGACGCAAGTACATTTAAACTATTAGCGAGGGACCTTTACCCCACGACTCACCAACGACCGTATTTCGTCAAAATAACCCTATTGTGACGAGAAAAGACCTTTTGTGACACCAATCGTCTGGTTACATCTGCCAGTCTTTTTTGTAGTGATATTGTCCTTTGGCGGGAATAGTCATTCATCTCAACATAAAAGGCATATCTAAAAGTAGAGACGTATATACCTCATGGTAGAATTGTATGTGTATGGTGGAGTAATATGTATTAGAGATCTACTCCTGTTGTTATTTAATCTAACTTTTGCTAATAGATCTGACACAAGAAAGCTGATCTAGCATAAGGAAACGTATCTACATATATACTACCCACAAAAGCATTTACAAACATCGGATTTGTGTTCATTTGGCTACATTTATTTGTGTGCTTGTTACTGCTTTTCATATTTCATTATCTTGTGATCTAAGTCGGTTTACATGAACTATACCGATATCCATGAAAAAGAATAGACAAGTAGCATTTTTCACGTACCCATGATAATCATAGCATAAGAAATAAGTTAATCGCAAACTAGGAAGAGCTGAAGTTTCTGTTTTAGTCATGAGCAGTGGCTTTGACTTTAGGTTATTGTAAGGCCCTTTTAATCGATAGCACTTAATAAGCAACAAGTGACCCAAAATAGCGAAGTAAACCGAATACAGCTACCCCAAACTCGAGACAAAATTGTATTCTTTCATTCTGAAATCACAAGCAGTGGCTGTGACTTTCAACAATAGTGATTTTCTGAATCTACAAACTCGGCCAACAGTTATCTTAAACATTTTAATCTAGATCTTAGCAACACTAGCGGTTTTCTGAATCTACAAACTCGGCCAGTAGATTAAGGAATTAATTCCTAGCTAATTAGAACTCAGAACCCGAAACCCGTTAAAAGCCATATTCCATTTTCAATTTTTACCTTTTAATCATACAAGGTCATGAGATGGTAGAACATCACCCAGATCTTGGCCTCCTCTAACCTGCATTCCAACCCAATCAGCAGTGTTAGATTTCAATCCCGAAGAAATTAACAAAAAAAAATTAACCAAAACCCCTTTGATTAAACTTACCGAGAGAAGGGATAGAAGCATCCCGGATTGAGTATCTTGTCGCGCAGCTGCTGCTGCCTCCACGCCGGTGGGATTAGCCCTCGCCTTTTCTCATTCCAAAGCCGAAAACACGGAAAGGAGAGTGAATAATATAAAAATCCAAAACGAAAACCTCATAATCGAACTAAAAATAAACTTGCATGTCAAAGAAGGCTTACCAGAGGGATCTTCTCACCGTCGCTGCTCCAACTAGAAAAGCATATCGAGAGCTCCTCTCAGCTCAGGGTCGATTTTCCAAAAATAAAACAAGAAAACAAGTATTAGAACTCCGAAAAAAACCGTAAAACAGATTCAAAAATAGTACGAACTTTAAGAACTTCATACTCGTCGTCACTGGCGGCGCATGTCACCATCGATGCAGGCGATGCATGTCTCCCCGTCGCCCTTTCTCCTTCTCCTCCCGCCGGGATCAAGTGCTCAGAGAAACCAAACAAAGAATCGAATGGAGGTAGAATAGAGATAGACGAAGGAGAGAGGAGGGTGTTTGTGCTCGTTTTTTCTCAGTTTTCAGTTGGTTTTGGCCGTCGGGAGGGAATAGAGGCGGTGTCTGAAGAGAGGGGAGTGGTGATCGTCGTTTTCTTGCAGAGGAAATGAGAGAGAGAACCCAAAAAAAACGAGAGGCAGAGAGAGAGGAGTTGAGGTAGCCAATTTAGGGTTGTAGGATAGGGTTTTATTTTTCTTCTAAGAGATGCTTTTATACGTACCTACAAATGACAATTCTATCCCTAGGGTTTCTAACTAATTACGCGGTCGTGCCACCTTCCTTTTGAGTAATTACCAAACTTCCCTCCCCCTTTTATGCCCCAAAACGAGAACCCAAAAAATTTGTACTTAATGTGTTTCGGACCCTCGTTCTCGAGGTCGAACACAGTCTGGGTCTGGAAACTTAGCCAGTTGGGCATCTGGGCCATCATGCGTAAATTTTTTCATCCCGTCTAGTTTTATTGTTTAATATCCTTAATACGAATGTTGAATGCTGATTAAGTTAATCTCGTGTCTTTTCTAACACATCAAGTTGCTTTTTAATAGCTAAAGTCCTCATGTTCTCTTTTCATAACTTCATAATAAATCAACTTAAATCTCATTAACAAAAAATTTAATACAAGAACCATGATCGGGAAACGTGGTAAAAATTACATTTAAAATTATCAATGTCATAACGAACTACGTGGACTTTGATCTCGTCTAACTGGTACGTACGCAACTGATAAGGTTCGAGTCCAACTAACCAATTAACTTTATCTTTTAATTTCTACGACAGTGGGCGTATAATTAAATTATAATTAATGTGATTTAATTTCTGTAGTGGTCCAGTAAGGCCCTAAAAATATCTAAAATATATAATCATGAACTAAACTTCCAATGACGTATTAGTTAAGTCATAAGCAATAGATTAATAATCCAGTGGGATTTTAAAATACACAATAATTACAAAAATAACACCCAACACACATAAAATTTATCAACTAAAGTAGTACCGATTTAGGGCGTTGTGGGGTGTGATTTCACTTTCCCACACGTAACCGTAATCCCGAACCCGAATCTACGACAGTGGGCCTATAATTAAATTATAATTAATACGATTTAATTTTTTTAGTGGTCCAGTAAGGCCCTAAAAATATCTAAAATATCTAATCATGAACTAACATCCAATGACGGATTAGTTAAGTCATAAGAAATATATTAATAATCCACTGGGATTTTAAAATACACAATAATTACCAAAATAACACCTAACACACATAAAATTTATTGACTTAAGTAGTATCGGTTTAGGACGTTGTGGGGTGTGATTTCACTTTCCCACACATAACCGTACTCCCGAACCCGAATCTCTTAACCGCAGACCATATCTCGGTTCCAACCCTTAGGTTGGAGCCGATTCGAAGTTTTCGATCCACTCCAAGTAAGATCGATGGCGACTCCCAAAAAGCGAACGCAACGACCCCGAATCCGCGGAGGGACGGTTGCAACAATGGTAATATATTATAATCTTTAAAATGCTAAAAATACATAAGATAGTATAAACTAAAAACTAAGAAAAAAAACATATGACAGCTTCAATTATCTATAGTATAAAGTCAACTCGCTAGCCCCACGAGCTTTGTAACCAGAGCTTAGCTCAAATTTGTCTCCTTTGATAACAAGTCAATTTCTCTTCTAGCTGCCGTTTCACAGGTATTTTTGGGAATCTCGTATTCGATTGATGTTCTCCCTATCGCATGTTCCCATGTGTGGTTAGTTGTGTACGTTTGCAAACCCTAGAGTTCTTTAGATTATATGTAACCAATGATTCTTAGTTTGAGTATTTTGACTACTTTGATTGTTTGATATCTTTGTATTACTTCATGTCAATCTGATTGCATGCAGCATCGAAGCTATCATCTCATGTTATATTTACTTCGCATCTGAATTTGTGTTGAAGGAAACCGTACATGGTCGTCCTTCACAATCTATCATCAATCGATTGAACTACACAAACCCTCAAAAGATAAATATGTAGGGTTCGCATAATAGCCTATTAGATATGACAAACATCATACATGATTAAATATGCAAAATTAGACAACTCATATGCTGT